CTGCTTGGCCTGCTGTGTTCATCCAGCTCTACACCTTGTTATCTCATTTATCCAAGCTTTTAGTTTTCCCCATCAAATGTCTCACTCTTTGACTCACCATTCATTTTTTGTATATTTCTGTGAAGTACTATGGAATTTTATTTTCGATTTAATGGTGATATACAAAGCCAAACTGATGCTGTTGTTGTAGCTACATGTTGTTTTATACAGCAAATTTACCCTAATGCTCCACTGCATTTCACTTAAGGATGTTGAACTATTGACTATGGAACTAGAATCTATTTAATAAAAAAATTTCTACATAACAATGTAATAGTTATATCACAGAATATGGTTTTAAACCATAAGAGGAGATCATTCAGGCTGTTAACTTATGAGCTTGTACAGTCAAACTAGAGATTTTCGGTTTTAGATCTTTCCCGAACTTATCAATTAACAGATCTTCATTCTGAAGAAGGGTCACTTGACCCGAAACGTTAACTCTGATTTCTCTCCACACTGCTGCCAGACCTGCTGAGCTTTTCCAGCAATTGTGATTTTTGTTTCTGATTTACAGCATCCACAGTTCTTTCAATTTTTAACAGATTTTCATTGTTATGTATTGTTTTGTGAATGATGGTTAACCTGAATTTGCAGCAGCCTCTCTCTCACTTTATTAAAATACTAACATGCACTGACTGAATTAACGTCGTTGGAAACACATTGTTATGCAATCCCTCAACTAACATTGTTAACATATGTCTGTAGAGTATATGGTTGACTCTGAATTGCCCTCTGGGCAATTAGGGATGGGCAATAAATGATGTCTAGCCAGCGATGCCCTCATCCCATTAATGAATAAAAAATGTAATATCTATTACCTGTTGCATTTGGAGGACATTTATTATAAACCAGCTCCCCAGCTACCGTCCTCTTCCAGGTCATTGCCATGATGTAGTCATCCCTACACATCTCATGGGGAGCTACAGAAAAAGCAAAATTAGTAACATTAATTAGTATTAGTGAAAGTATAAGGGATTACAAAGGATAGTAAACTCTCACCTGTTTTATCTCAATCTTTAAAGTGATAAGCATGGATTAATTTTACAATACTTTGTTGACTTTGATAGTCTAAATTTCACAATAAAAGTGTGATGGACCAGACCAAACCCTCTTAAAATATATGAAGAAGATAGCCTCGACCCTAACATTTTCTTATTTTAAAGGCAAGTGCCAGGCGTTGCATTTCTAATGCAATTCGATTGATCAAACTACCAGTCTTGAAGCAAAACACACTTTATTCGTACACTATAGTTAAAATGCAACAAAAGAAAGAATTGGAACAACTTAATTCTATTGGAAAACTTAACAGAATAATCGGTTATTTAACTACTAAACAGTAACTGTTCCAATATAGTAACATCCCATAAACACACCCTTGGCAAAGACAAATTCAGCAAAATAGATTGTCTTATAAGAAATTCTAGCAGCAGGAAGAGAGCCCCAGCTTTAAGCTGTATCAGAGACAGGAAAAACAACTTCCATATCTAGCTTCAAGACTCCAGCAGCAACTGCTACAAAAGGCTAAAACTAAGAAAAAATTCCTGATTCTGTGGGAGCTTAACCCCACCCATTCAGGCTGCTTCTATTGTTCCAAACAAAAACTATTCCTTAAAAAGAAAACAAGGCTCCACAACTGTTTACTTTATTAGCTTTGGAGCAGATTGTTTGGTACTTCTGTCCCAATTTTCTTCACAACTAAAGGACCCAAATACACCTCTTAAAGCCATAGAATCATCACAAAAGGGAGTGGAAGTTCACATTTTTATTCATTCTAATCATTCTGTAAACTAAATAACTGACTGTCCAATGACAACAGTCATGTTTGACACAGTGCTTAATTAATGTGAGGAAAGCCTAATATGTGCCTCTACACTGGTTAACAATAATGGCCTATGTGGTACTGTTGTAAAAATAGGTAGGAATGCACTTACCACATTTGTTAAATATTCCCCTGTTAGGTTTAGTCAAGCATTAATCTATATAAATTAAATTGTTTAACACTAACTTTTCAAATGACTGATTCATTCAAGTGACTCTTAATCGCAAAAGGTTTTCCCACCAACAAGGTTAAACTGACTGGCTTGTAGTTGTTGAATATATCCTTACACTCTTTTTTCAAACAGGAGTATGACATTGAACAAGAATGTAACATTATATTGTACAGTTTTAAACCACTCCAAACAAACAAGAAAGATAATTGGCTGTGCTGAAACAGCTCATCTAATTGGAACCAGCAGAATTTATACAAGTTAGTATCTGATAAAGGAAAAAAAAGATTGTGCAGCTTTCCAGGTATCGCTGCTATCCTGTGAATATTTCTGGACTATATGCATGTTAGAAAATCAGATAAGAATAGGATCAGGCTTGATCACATCCCTGGTTAATCAATTTGTTATCTAGGACACTTTAGGGAAAATACAGAAACAAAGAAAATAGGAGCAGCAATAGGCTGTTTTGCCATTCATTATGATCACATATGATCAGCCAACACAACAGCTTTTCCACCATAACCTTTGATTCCTTTGGGCCAAAGTGCAATAACCAACTCCTTGAAATCATTCAATACTTTGGACTCGGCTGCTTTTGTGACAGTAAACTCCAGAGGCTGTCCATTCTCTAGGTAAAGATATTTTTCCTATTCCTAGTCCTAAATGGTTTACCCTGTAACTTTAGACAGTGACTGCTGGTTCTGGAATCAATATAGGGAACATCTTTCTTGCATTTATCCTGTCTAATCCTGTTAGAATTTTGTAGATTTATATAGATACTGCTTGTGATCGGGTGGCCAGCAACAGAAATGGCTACAAGACAGATTAAGAGCTACAGTCAAGCATGCTGGGAACTTTGTTAAGCTAGTTCAAACTCTGACCTAGGTTAAAACTGCAGCAAGGGCATGTTGCGACTTGCCCATTAAACTGTGACCCACAGTTTCTTGTGTTGACCAAATAAGGGAGGTATCATAGTGGTCTGCTAGATATACTGGTACCAATATTACTTTACATAGAGTATGGTATGTGACTATTTACAATTTGGTATAAACATGTAAGAGTTGTAAAGCAGTAAACTCCATTGGCTAGGATCAAACATTGTGATCAGATTTGGTCAATTCATTGGGTGAATGCCAGAGACATTTCCAGCAAATAAGCACACATTGGGATAAAAGTTACCAGCACAAAGGATTTTGCAGGAGTAACTATTCAAGACAAACGTTTGCAAAGCACGTGCCCTGATGTTTTCTTCAGAGAAACAAAGAACCACAAGGCAAGATCTACACCAAGAGCAAAAACTTGCCACTTCACTTGAATTAGGGTGATATTTGTTTCAAGCCAAACTTATAAAGTTACAGTTAAATGTGAATTAAAATAATGTAAAGTTAAATGAAGTGAACTAAATTAAAGTTGAAGTTAGATGAAGTAAGAAATAAATGTTGCAACAAATATATTTTATACTAATGCCTAAATAATTAACTAAAGCAGAATATGTTTAATTAAATTTAGAATTGACCCCCTGTCTTTTTTCCGTCACACAAGGAAAGAACAGCTGGGAGAAGGTTGAGCATTCCTTTCAGCTAACATTTTTGACCATCCTGGGTGGTCTTTGATAAAAAGTGACCTTAAGTAGCTCCAAATCAAACTCACTAGCCTTGTATTCTCAAAAATCCAACCTAAACCTGACTAAAAAGGGCAGCTGCCCTACATGATGGCCAGGATTCAAACAGATGTGCCCTGCATAAAGCCATGATGACTAGCTCTAATATGTCCATTCTTTTCCAAATGCGCATAAACCTTATCTCTAAGAATCTTCTCCAATAATTTTCCTACCACTGATGTAAGGCTTACTGGCCACAATTTGCTGGATTATCCCAGCTGCTCTTCTTAAACGAAAGGAACAGCATTGTCTATTCTTCAGTCTTCTGGGATCTCGCCTGTGGTTAAAGAGGATACAAAGATTTCTGTCAAGGCCCCAGCAACCTCCTCCCTTGCCTCCTTCAGCGACGTGGGATAAATCCCATCAGGCACTCGGGTCTTATCCACCTTAATGTTTTTCAAGACATCCAACATGCCCCAGAATATCAACATTCCCCTCCCTAACATTACCATCACTCATGCCCTCCTCCTTAGTGAATACTGATGTGAAGTACTCATTAAGGACGTCACCCACTTCCTCTGGCTCGACACATGAATTCCCTCTTTTGTCATTCAGTGGACCTAACCTTTCCCTCGTTACTCCTTGCTCCTAACATACGTATAAAATGCTTTGGGATTCTCCTTAATATTACTTGCCAAGGACATTTCTTGCTTAAGTTCTTTTCTGCTTCCTGTACATTCCTCAAGGGTCTTGTTTGATTTCAGTTTCCTAAATCACATACATGCTTCCTGTTTATTTTTAATTTTTTAAAAATTTTTATTCATAAGTTTACTTAACTTAATACAAAGGGTTTCTTCAGTTCCTTGAATGCATATTTGGAAATTCTCGATAACCAAGAAAACCACATATGCCAAAAGTATCACCACCTGGAGGAGCCGAAGATCCTTATTCTTGCTGGCAGCTGGTGTCACTATGATACATCTGCTGAGGGTTACATGGTTAGGACGTTTGACAATGTAGTCAACTTGCAGTTAAGAGTATGCAGACGGCAAGAAAATGGGTGACTGGCAGGCACTCATAAAAGCTTACGCAGGTAGTGCAAAACTAAAAAAAAAATGGATTGCGGAAATCTGAAATAAAAAAGAAAATGCTAAAAATACATAGTAGGTCTAGCAGTACTTGTGGAGAGAGAGAGACAAAGATAATCGCCTAGACGTTCCAATAGAAAGACAGTGATTGCTGAACATTAGTCTAGATTTTTGGGATAGTACTTGGGATGGCATAGTGGCTCAGTGGTCAGCACAGCTACGTTATAGCACCAGGGACACAGGTTCGCTTCCAGCCTTGGGTGACTGTCTGCATGGAGTTTGCACGTTCTCCCTGTGTCTGCTCCACATGCTCCGGTTTCATCCCACGGTCCAAAGATGTGCAGGTTAGGTGAATTGCCCATGGGAAATGCAGCGTGACAAGGATAGGGTAGGGGGGGTGTGTCTGCATGGGATGATCTTTGGTAGGTCAGTGTGGACTCAATGGGGCTGAATGACCTGCTTCCACACTATAGGGATTCTATGATTACATGCTAGACTCAGTTGACTGTGTGGGAATTGACAGGAAGAGAAATTGATGGACAATTACTCAATGTTTGGAACCCTCTAAAAATGTTTTCTTCTTGAATAGGTCACATAATTGTGGGGAAGCGTTGGCCTAGTGGTATTATCGCTGGACTGTTAATCCAGAGATCTAGATAACGTTCTGGGTTCAAATCCCGCCACAATTCAATAAAAATATCTGGAATTAAGAAGCTAATGATGACCATGAATCCATTGTTGATTCTCAGAAAAACCCATGAGGTTCACTGATGTCCTTCAGGGAAGGAAACTGCCATCCTTACCTGGAGTGGCCTACACGTGACTCCAGACCCACTGCAATGTGGTTGACCCTTAATTAGGGGCAATAAATGCTGCCTCGCCAGCAACGTCCTCATCCCTTTAATGAATAAAAAAAATACTTCCCAATATCCCACCCCTCAGCCAAACTACACCACGCTCAGAGCACTTACACCCCTTAGGTCCTGACATGACACCCAACTCTCCTCCAAGGACCCAACACGCTCACTAAGAACAAGACACCTCTCTTGCATACACAAATTCATCTTCCCTGGGTACCTGACACTACCTCCCCCAAGAGCCGACATCCACCTCCAAGGGACCTGACACCAATAACCCTGTCCCCAAGGATTGTAAAGGCCTATTGCCAATATGCTCTTAGACTGGATACCCCCTACACTGTACTTGATATAGGCCTGGCTATTCCTGATACCTGCTTCTAGAGACCTGACATCTCCCTGGGCTGATATCTCCGACTTGGAGAAGTTCACCCTCTTCCCCTTGGGAACCAACACTCACTGTTGGTCCCAAACCATCTTTCCTGCTGCCAGACTCAAACTCCAATGTCCTCTGCCTTTACTGAAACACAACCTCAAACTACCTCTCCCAAACCAAACCAAACCAACCCTGAAACCCTCTTATTCCACTGCTAACAGATTGGATACCCATTCCTTTCTCACCCACTGCCAATCCTGATTTTTCTCACCACTCCCAGCCTTCCTCCATAACTTACCTGGACACTTTGCCACCAACCACTTCCCACCTAGCATTGTACCCACCTGACACTATATCCCATACCCATCCGGCACCCTACTCCCACCCATATAGCATTAGACCCCTGACACCCTACCCCTATCTTACCTGGCATCCCGCCATTCTGTTTACCTACCCATCTGGCACCCTACCTCCTAACATCAAACTTACCTCATGTACTTATCCTTTGACTGTAGCTTTCAAAGTGGCTGTCTGAACCCTTAAATTCCAGAACACAGCAGTTAACTGCTGTGAAAAGGGGGCATGATTTGCCTTGACTCGATAATCCTGCGCTATGAAAGGATAGTCAGAATGGAAGCATGGCTCTGCATTTCTGAGGAAGCCTTGAGTGGAATTTCCTCTTTTAAATGTGGAGCTCCGCTCTTTCCATAAAAAAGGAGGGGAGGAGTGAAATTGCCTCTCCTCGGAAAACCTGGCCCAGCAGCTCATTTGGGTCTGAAAGAAAGGTATCATAGAATCATACAGTTCATAAGAGGCCCTTTCACCCATTGAGACTGTATCACCAAAAATGCACTACTACCTACCTAGTCCCACTTTCCTGCACTAGACTCATAGCCTTGAATGTTATTACACTTCAAATATTCATCCAAGTACTTTATAAAGGTCATGAGGTTAGCTGTCTCAACCATCCTCCGAGGCAGTGCATTCCAGATCCCCACACCTCTCTGAATGGTTCTTCTCAAATCGCCTCTAATCTCAGAGGAAGAGGTACTTTTTTTTAACTACCTTTGTTGCATAAGGAAGGGGATGCAATTCATCCTCCCCACCCAGTTTGGGTTACCTGTAACAAACTGGGGAATCTTGGCAAAGGTCTGGTCATACCACAAGCTATAGGTGCATTGTTGTGTGGAAATACAATGTAATGATGATAGCAGAAATGTGGCTCAAACAAGGTTAGGGCTGGATGCTGCATATTCCTGATAAAAGGCATTCAGGAACAATAAAGATATGCAGGTTAGATGAATTGACCATAGGAAATGCAGGGTTACAGGAATAAGTTAAGGGATATGATCTGGGTAGGATGCTTTTCAGAGTGTCAGTATGGACTCAATGGGCCAAATGGCCTGCTTCCACACTGCAGGGATTCTATGATAAATACTGGCCTTCCCAGTGATATCCACATCCCATAAGTGAGTAAAAAATGTTAATATGAGAGTAATTCTTCTCCTCACCCAGAGAGTGGTGAGCCTGTGGAATTCATTACCATAGGAATTAGTTGATGCCAAAACACTGAATGTATTCAAGAGGCAATTAGAGTCAGCACTTGGGGTGAACGGGATCAAAGGTTATGCGGAGAAAGCAGGATTGGGCAATTCAGTTGGACGATCAACCATGATTGTGAAGAATGGCAGAGCAGGCTCGAAGGGCTGAATGGCCTCCTCCTGCTCATTTCTTCCATATTTTCTATGTATTAAGGAAGGAAGGAGGAATGATGGTAGTATCAATTACAGACAAAAAAAAAGGATATCTTGGTGAGGGTGAAGTTTAATTATAACTAAGAAACAATTGAGGAACGATATAGTGATTGGAACGAGGTCGGCCATGTGATTCTTATTGAGTATGAGTTCCCTGATTGGGGTTTTTAACCTGGGCCAATCAGGGAATCCTGGCTGACAGATATAAACAGGACTCCAAGGGGTTCTCCTCACTCTAGGAACTGGCTCTGAGCTGGCTGGTGTACATGTGTACATGTAAATAAAGGGTGACGGGATACCGACCTCCATGGAGTTATTTCATGCATCATACTGCTGGGTGCATTCTACAGACTGCATACCAGTGGTAAAGATATAGAACAACAAATTTAAATTGGTAATCCTAATATTAGTTGGGATGGTGATTATGTAAAGATTGACGAGGGAAGAGATCGAAATGTAGTGAGGAGAATTTTCTCCACTAGTATGCTTCCAGACTGAATGAAATTTCTCTATCTGATTCTGGGGAATGTGGGTCAAGTAGTTCTATGACAGGAGGGAAACTTTCAGAGGGAGAGGGATCATAAGGTTAGATTTATATAAAAAAAAATACAAGGAGCAATCCAGATAAATCTAATTGAATGACAGTAAGAACATTTTAATAGAATGAGAATGGATCTGGCCCAGATAAACTGCAGTCAAAGAATAGCAGGCAGAACTATAAGTAAACAACGGGCTGCATTACAGGGTAGATAGTTCACATAGAATCAAGACATATTCCTATAAGAAGGAAGGACAAAATATCTAGCGCTCTTTGGATAGCAAAAGAGATAGAACAAAATAAAGCAGAATAAATGTGCACATTAGATAACTGGTTGATAATATAGTGTAAACCAGGCTGTATATAGAAAATTCAGAGTGGAAGTTAAAAAAGTAAGAACAACAAGCTGAGAGGATGAGCGGAGACTGATGTCTGACAGCTCTTGACACTGTTGGTAGATGCCAAAGAAGATCAGGCACTTCTTCACAAGGACAAATTAAACACAATTCAAAGGGCAAAAAAAATCAAGCTGTTGCTATAAACAGTTGGTCCCATAGGGGCACTAACATGGACATGAAGAAAGATTTTCAGCTGTACATTTAATTTCTATTTCTTGTAATTATAATATCATCTTAAATTGCACAGCATGAGTGTAAACTGTGCATATCCACAATTTTAATTATCGCTTCCCTAGAGACTGCAAAGAATGCATGCTATTTACCAGTCATGGTGTTAACATAGGTGAGCTCTTTAATCTGATGATTTATTATGGATTACCATCAGACTAGATGCAATGTTGAATTTGGTTTAGTAGTATTATCGCTGGACTGTTAATCCAGAGACCCAGATAACGTTCTGGTGACCCTGGTTTGAATCCCGCCACAGCAGATGGTGAAATTTGAATTCAATAAAATATCTGGAATTAGGAATCTAATGATGACCATGAATCCATTGTCGATTGTTGGGAAAACACCCAGCTGGTTTACTACTGTCCTTCAGGGAAGGAAACTGCCATCCTTACATGGTCTGGCTAACATGTGACTCCAGACCCACTGCAATGTGGTTGACTCTGAATTGCCCTCTGGGCAAATAGAGATGGGCAATAAATGCTGCCTAGCAGTGACGCCTTCATCCCAGTAATGAATAATAAATAATTTATCTGCTTAACTCTTTTTCTTCCAGGATGTACACTAAGGTAACATCCTGAACCAAAATGGCCAAGGTTGGTGAAAAAGAATAAGCGAAAAAATTTAAGCATGCATTTAAATAAGTAATAATAAGTACAATTCTCCTACCTGGGCATCTTTTATGATTGCATGTCCTGACCTCTTCCCCTGATCCTTCACATGGGTAGCCTTTGACACTTGTCCCCTTGCACATACGAAGGCGTCGTTGCCAGCCACTGTCACATGTTTTGGAACACAAACTCCAATGGTTCCATGGACCCCATTTGCCATCACCTTAAAAAGAGTTTAAATTAATTCTACTCGAGCAAGAGAGCAATGATTATTAGTTGGTTTGGTCATACAGAGCTTGAGTATTCTTGTAAAAGGGACATGCCATTTATATATTCTTGCCTTGCAATCATCTGGACAGACAAAACAAAATAAATTTCAAAGGGAACATAATTTATACTGCATGATAAGCAAGGGATGCCATTTGGTTACTATGTGGACTCACGATTGAGATTTGTCTTGGAGAATACACCGGATCATAAGTATCCCTCAAACTTTAGTTTAACTGAAAATGGAACAACGTCTAGATATGTTTTTTTTGGCGCAAAGAACAGGGCCCTGTATATAAACATGTGTAGCTTCTGTTTACACATAGCGATTACGATAGCTCCGCGTATCATAAGATTGACCTAATTGCAACCATGTAAACAGGGCCACAGCCATTAGCTCACCACGTAAGCTTGATGCTGAAATAGACTGCAAAGCTATGCTCTGTGATAATGACTACCCCGATCAGATCAATGCTTGCTGTACATTTTGTAAACTCACGAATGAGATTAAGACCTCCACCTTTAGTCCTTATACGTGCCTAGTCTATAACAAATTATCCAGGAAGGTAAGATACTTCAAGAATTTGAGCAACAGGCAAAACAAGCCATTTTATCACATTGTGATGCAGTAATAACACGAGTACTTTGCTCCGTTAACAGGATGAATGCTGTAAAGCCAGAAGTCTTTCTATCTACCATCAAATGTGTAATATGATAAATGAATATGAATATGATGCCAAACACGTAAGCCATATGTTCCATTAAACTGGTAGATCATACCAAACATTAGATCCCTTTGGCTGTTTACAACAGGCACAGTCGTGACCATCCTCAACTTGTAAACCAAATTCAGAACAGCCAAAAAACGTAAAATTAAGCTAGAAGTGACAGTTTTGTTGTGTTTCATGGAGGGTTTCTCTCTGTGAAGTCTAGCGAGACATCTCACCATATCCTACCAAACTCACCTTTTTAACGTCATGCCTGGTCCCTATTGTGCTCTTCTCACCCAATTCTAATTCCATTCTACCACCTACCATTGCCAGAACAACTCACCAATCACCAGATATCCCTGAAATTCCAGCATTCCCAGCATCTATGACATCTTTAATATGTTGGAACGCACAAGTGTAGGCAATCCAATATTACCCTTTATTAGCAATGTAATGGCACAGACGCCACTAGGCCATACTGCTCACAACAAACAGCCTGACATGGCTGGCAATGCTTTATTCAGACAACCTGATTCTCTTACTCTAGTCGCTGTTGTACCACTAGGCCACACAGATGATCTCACCTCGATCCCTGTCTAAGTTACCACTACTTTGTTGCCAATGTCCACTGTAGATTTGCATCTTGTCATTGTCCATTAGGGAACATCACATACAGGTAAGCAATCAGACAATTCCAAACATGAGCTTTTATTTAAAGTCAGCAAAAGGGAATGCAAACAAAACAAACAGAAGCTGCAGTTCATCCCCACCATGTAATCGAAATGAGAACATGAAGACAAGTGATAATTTTGCATTCCACATTTGCTTGCTGAGCCTAGCTTTCATCTAGTGGAAACCATGTGCCATTCAGGTCCTGTCTGGCTTGGTGCATCCAATACTGTTGAGCTCTGTGATAAACAAGAAGAACTTCCTCTCTGTCTTCATCCTCCTGTTCAGCAAACATCTGTGTTCTTCCTGTTCCTCAACATGTATCATATTACCTCACTGCCTACTCCATGCAGAGCACAACATGCCAGGAAGATATAGCAGACTATATTGGAGGATATCCCGAAATTTGCCTGTGAGAGGGCAGTGGTGAGCTGCCTTCTTGGACAGCTGCAGCTCATGGTAGCTATGCATAGTGCTGTTTATGGGATTTTGACACAGTGACAGCAAAGGAAGCCAAGATAGTATTTGACTTGGAGAAAAAAAAAGCTTGCAGGTGGGTACATTTCCTATGCATCTGCTGCTCCTGTTCTTCTCAGTGATTGAGATTGCAGGTTTAGAAAATGCTGTCACAGAATGTTGATGAGTTGAGTGAGCGCAGCTTACAGGTGGTACAGTCTACTGCCACTGAACTGGTGGTGGAGAGCGTGAATGTTGAAGGTGTCGTATGGGGTGCCAATCAAGCAAGCTGATTTGCCCAGATGGATTTGAGCTTCAAGTGTTGTTAGAACTGCACACATCCATGGAAATGAGTATTCTGTGACTCTCCTGAATTGTTCCTTGTAAATGGTGTACAGACCTTGAGGAGTCAGGTGTTGAGTTCCTTGTTGCAGAATTCCCAGTTTCTCACCTGCCCGTGTAACCACAGTATTTTTATGACTAGACTGGTTCAGTTTCTCATTAATGGTAATGGCCAGGATGTTAACATTGGAGGATTCAGTGATGCTAATGCCATTGAATGTCACTAGGCAAAAGTTGGATTCTCTTTTGTTGGATGACATTGCTGGACACTTGTTGGCAATTATTAGGGTGAGCAATGGCCTAGTGATATTATCGCTAGACTATTAATTCAGAGACCAACATAAATGTTCTGGGGATCTGAGTTTGGACCCCACCGTGGAAAATGTTGGAATTTAAACGCAACAATAATCTGGAAATAAGAGTCTACTGAGGACCATGAAACCATTGCTGATTATCAGGCAAAAACTCATCTGGTTCACTCATGTCTGCTGTTTTTACCTGGCCTGGACTGCACTTGACTCCAGACTCACAGTGGTGGGGTTGACTCTTAACTAGTTTCTGGTCAATTAGGTATGGGCAAAAATGCTGGCCAGTCAGCAATGTTCACATCTCACGAATGAATGAAAAAAAAGCCATTCAGCCCTTTGAATCTGCTCTACCACTCAATTTGATCATAGCTGATCATAGAATTCAGTAACCTATTCTGGCTTTCTCCCCATACCTTTCATCCCCTTAGCTGTAAGAACATATCAAAGTCCTTTTGAAAAGAGTCAATGTTTTGCCTCAACTGTTTTCTGCGGCAGACAATCCTGCAGGCCCACCACTCTCTGTGTGAAATGTCTCCTCGACTCAGCCCTAAATGGCCTGCCACACCTCACCACCGCAACCAAATCCCTAGACTGTGACCAACATTCCCTCTAAGCTGCACGGCGTTTTGATGTTCTAAGCACGGCAATTGTCATTGGCACTCTGATCACAGTCTTGACCTCCAATTTAGGACGTCGCTGTCACACATGGACCTTTATGGCCCGTGTTGTCATTAAGGAAGAAAGAGGAATGCTGACTGTGATCCTTAATTCTGGATTCCCTGGTAATTGAGAGCATCCTTCCTGCGTTTACCCTGTCTAGTCCTGATAGAATTTTATAACTTTGCATGAAAGCTGCCCGCCGCCCCACCTCTTCTAAATTCCAGTGAATATAATTCCCAATCCATTCCGTCTTCATCTGTCAGTCTTGCCATTCTTGGAATCAGTTTGATAGATCTTCACTGCAATCTCTCCATAGCCAGAACATCCTTCCTCAGATAAGGAAGCCAAAACAGCACACAATACTCCAGTGTGTTCTCACCAAAGTCTTCTTCAATTACAATGACAATTTACAACTCAAATCCTCTTGCTAGAAACAACCAATATACCATTTCCTTCTTCACTGCCTGCTGTACCCTGAATACATACTTTCAGCTACAAGTGCAAGGACACCCAGGACACATTTCACCTCTCCTTTTCCCAATCTATCAGATAATAATCTGCCTTCCTGTTTTTGCTGGCAAGGTGAATAACTTCACATTTATCCACATTGTACGTCATCTTCCACGCATTTGCCTACTCACCTAGATCACAAGTATATATTCTGAATAACTAGGGTCAAAACACTAATCCTTGTGGCACCCATTAGTCACTGTTGTCATTCGGAAAATTACCCATTTATTCCTACTTTTTGTTTCATTTCCGCCAACTAGTTGTTTATCCATGTCAGTACACTATCCTTAATCCCATGAACTTTATTTTACATGCTAATCTCTTATGTCCTCGCAGTTGGTTTTTAGAGTGAAGCAGCCTGAAAAGATTGTCCTCAGAGACAGCATCACAGTGAAGCAGTCTGGGAAGAGTGTCCTGCATGTTAATTAGAAACAAAGAGTGACATCACAGGAAAACGGAAGTATCTTATACTGCAGGAGTAGAGGTCCCACAGGAGAGAGCTCATTTGTACGTAGAAGGTAAGGTCAGATAAATATTTACAACTTCTATCACTCATAGTTTATTAGATATTTTTATGGCTTAGAATTCTAAGAGCTGTATACCTTGGTATCAAGGAACCGGAAGGAAGGGCCCCAGAGAAATTGATATTATTTGATATTAAGCATCTCCAAAAGTTTAATTTAAAAGGTTAAGTCGTGGACAGAGAGCTCAGAGTCATGGTTTGTTCCTCCAGATCAATATGGGAAGCTGAGATCATTTCCAGTGCTAAGGACCAGCATGTGAGCAGCAAGTCTCTCCAGCTCCAGAAAGTCCAGGTTTTGGAGCTACAGTGATGGATGGGGACACTGTGAAGCTGAGAGAATCATGAATACAGAGATGCAGTCACACCACAGGCTAAGATTCCACAGGTAGAAAGGGAATGGATGACCACCAGGCAGAGTAAGAGACAAGGCAAGTGGTACAGGAATCATCTGAAAACAAGCATACCACTTTGCATGCTGTGTGGGAATGTCCTCTCAGTGAAAAACAGCAATAGCCAAGTTCATGGCATCGCAGAGGAGGAACAAAAAGTGTGGAAAGGCAATAGTCATTGGGGATTCAATTATAAGGGGAATAGATAGGCGGTTCTGCGACCACAAACAAAGCTCTAGGATGCAATGTTGCATTCCAGATGCTACAGTCAAGAATGTCTCAGAGTGGCTACAGGACATCCTGAAAATGGATGGTGAACAGCCAGTGATCGTGGTACAAAGACATAGGTAGAAAAAAGGAATGAGGTCCTAAAGCAGAATATAGGAAGT